TAATTTTATAAAAATTACATCCTTTGCTTAAAATTGTCTTTTTGCAAGCTCACTAAGGTTACTGTCCTCAAACAGTATATTATTAAATTGAGCCTAACACATGTGCCTTCAAATTCTGATGCCTAAGTGCCAATTCAAATAATGGGCTGCATAGGAACTTTAATAACCCCTCCTAAGGGACCAGAAGGTATATGAATTCAGGCTAATGTAATGGACAGGTCCTTTCCAGTATTGATGAAGGAGCTTTGATGGACTAACCATATATTGTCACAGAAGGAAAATTACTCCCAAAACCAATGGTTTGTCCAAATGCCACCATTATGGGAGTTATTTGTACCTGAACCACTGTTAAAGTAATACACAAAGCCTGAAGCGCTCCATGGTTCCAAGATAAGGAAAGCAAGGACTCAACAAAGCGGCTGAGTTAAGTGTCTGAACCTTGAACATAAGAATTTATCATATGGTATTTCAAAAAGTAAATATAGAAAAGTATAAAATTTTAGTAAAAATTTTATCTATTTCAAATTGCTTAAAAAACAGAATTGAGGTCCACAACTACCTCAAATACTATATATATAATAGAAATTGCATAAACAATGGTAAGAAAATTGATTAGCTGTATGCAAGAGACATATTTCAATTTTTCAAGCTTTTCCAAACTTCTTGCATTTTTCAAAAACCTATTTATAAGGCAAACCTATTTCAATTGAATTCAAAATAATTCAAGCTCTTGATTCTTGCACATTTTTAATCTCATATACCCTGACAATTTCATGGGTTTTCCATTGGTTTTAATCAAATCAGCTTATTAGAAATTTTGGAATTACTATTTATAGGCCAATGCTTCCATTTTTTACATAGAGTTTCTTTCTTGATAATTCAGCTTTATCAGATCTTCCAAAGTAATATCATAAGTTCTTAATAAATTGGCATGGATCTTAATGATCCACCAAGGTTACAAAACTAGTTAAATTTCTGTATAGAAAATATGAGCTGATCTTAAGAGGCATCACAAATTGGATTTATCCCAACAGGGATACTAATGATCTGAAGCAGTTTGGATCATTACATTAATCACAGTTTTCAAAATTAGCAGCCATTCCCCAAACTATCAAAATGCAGCTTAGTCACTTCCCCCACCCCAACATAACATAAAACCCAGCACCCTGCTATCAGTAGGGTGCTGGGTTATTCTATTTAGTATTTTACCATACATATATCTATCCTAAAACATGTTTTGTCTTTTTCAAATCTAAAGATGGGTTTTGAGCTATTCAAAGTTTCAAAAGAGAATATGATAGAAATGTCTAATAACTTTACAATTATAGTAACCCAATCATCCCCAAGAACTCCTCACCCCCTTTCACCATCACAAGAAACCAAAAACTACTACTTGATTCCTCTGAGTTAACCTTGAAAGGAAAGAGTCTCTTTGCATTATAAGACTGTATTGTGAGTGTTCAGGCGCCTTTGCTTATATCCCAATTTTCTCTTGGCTCCCTATAATACTACCATTTTCTATTATCAACACACTTTTCTTTAAATAAATTTAGTATATTTATCTCTAGAGAAAAAACTATAAACAAAGAATCTATGGATATATAGAAGTTAACTTAAAAAGCTGCCATAATTTTAACTTACTAAGAAAGAACTTTTAATAATTTATAGGCATTATTCACCATATATACATTGTATACTAATTAAGCATCTATAGTTTGGTAGACATAACTAGAAAAAACTTTAAGGTCTAGGCAATTATAAGATTTTAAGCAAATGTATAATTGAAACCACAAAAAGAAAACTTAATTAGTTATTCTAAATTTTGATGGTTTTAGACATCAGGATATTTGACATGATGGGAAGAATATTGATTAATTGACTCCCACAAAAAGATTGATGCCTAGACCTAAGAAAGGGGTTAAAGGAATTACATTAAAAATCATGAAAAAGTTAATGATTGTTAAGGCTCAGATCTATACTAGGAAATTTCCATCAGACCAATTTAAGCCCAAATTACCTGAGATAAAATTTCGCTTAATCAAAATGAAGTATCATCAAAATTTTAGGCAACCATTACTCTAGGTGTCACACGAGGCAGTAAATTAAGACATACCCAAAAAAGGGTAAGAATCAGGAACTTTTTAATAGTTAATATAATTAATACCAAATCTTATCAAACATGGTAGAATCAACATACCTTTTCTTCCTATCAGAATATGCTACAAAAGCATTGTACAATCTGAATACTTCTCAAGAGTGGTTAGCCGAGCGGGTAAAACTGCTTCCACCCCTAGTGCAGGTTTTGAGTTCGAAACCTGTACTGGCTAGAAAACATTCTCGGTGTGGTATATTTGTCCCAAGGTCGACCCAGCTCGAATAATTTTTTTACAATCTAAATGCTTCTCCTGGCCAAGAGCTTCCCATCTAGATTCCCCCTCTATCATTTTGCTAATACTTTTCCTTATGGGGTTTACATTGTTTAATGTAATATATATATAAATCCCTATAATATATTAAAATAAAGATGTAAGTAATGTAACCTCTTTTCTGATACTTGGCTTCAATAAGTACCTTTTGCCATAATTACCATAGGATGAATAATATAGCTGACAGGATCTAAATATGACTTGGAACCCTCAAAAAATAATATTTTTCATGATTCTTAGGCTGATTCAAGTTTTGGCTGTTGGGTTTCTTGGGCACAGCATCATCAAGCCACTAAAATGGTCTGACAGATGGTTCTAGTAAAGTGGTCTTTAAGTACCAAAGGGCTCAAGGAATAGTATTCTATAAACAGATGATTAATTAATTGATGAGTTAACTTTATTACATTCTTTTTATGCATGGCATAATTTCCAAAATGTATCTGGTCTGTAATTTTTGGTTATTCTAGATAAGTAAAGCTATCTGTTAATATCTTATATAAGCTAATTGATGTATAATCATATGTGACTATCTAGATAAGAAGATTAAACGATTGTTTTTTTTTGTTTATTTTATCACTTAATACTTAAAATGTTAATGTCAGAAGAAGTATTTAAATATACCGTTCCTGGAGAGGTGAAGTAAATAATCACCCAAACACATAGAGAACAAACCACCAGCGAAAGGAAAATAGGAGACTGCAGAAGATTCCAACACCTATATAATTTGAGATCTCCTTTAGGAGGTCTGCAATAAGGTCAAACTGGAAATTAATCTTGGTAAATAAAATGAATGGGTATAAAAGGACACAACTAACAAGGATGCTGATATAATGAAAATGACTACAATGAGTTTAAAGGAGGTGGCCACAGTCATTTCACTTAGGTACTGAGAAATATGTAGCCAATAAAAATCAACATATTATCACCCATGGTACTCTAGTTTTAGTAAGCCCAAACTTGAGAATTACTTATAATTATATATTGCTATATACCAGCCAACTTGGCTTGCATTAAAAATGCTTTACAAAATTCTGAAGCCCCTTTTATAGGCTTTAAAGAGTTAAAAACCTGATGATGGAGGCCGTTATATCCTATGGCCGGTGAAACAATTTTACAGCCTGTCACCATGACGTTAGAGGAAGTTCAAGTATAAATACTATATCAATGACTTTGTGCTTGACATTACAGATGCTGTCTCAAAGGAGCCCCCTCATATACCTTTGGGTTCAACCGCCAATGATGTAGGAATTATCAAAACACCATCCAATTAGAGATTCCCCAATAGTACAAAGTTGAGCATGAAATTATTAATAAAACAAGAAGAAAATTAGTTTTACAAACTCCATTGATTGAGATGACAAATGTACCAATGAAGCTTCAAGAGTCACAAGGGTCATGAGGGCAAATAGAATTAATTTTAAAATCAAAGCAGTATCATGCATTTGCAAATAGGATGAAGCAGAAAATATTCTATGTAAGTAGCCCAAAAGATCCCAGAGGATCAAGTAATTAAACTTCAATGGCCCTTAAACTAAGCTGCAGTTGTACAATTGCTTTATGAGAAAATAATGTGAATTGATGAGAATAGATTTACTTAAACTACAAGATCCTAAGTATTAAATATACTTTTTTTATATTCACATCAAAAAATAACGTCTTTATAATTTTCCTCTCTTATGGTCATTTTATTTAATGCTAATAACCTCAGATATAGTTTTATTGTATAATGTTTGGACTAAGCCCTCCTGTTATCAGAAGGTTGAGAGAGTTCCAGTGCGCTCTAGAGTATCCCCAATATGTATAAATCCAAGGCTTCAGCAAAGGTTGGACATTTTTGGAATTATGAGAAAAGTTTTATGCACACAAGAAAAAGACCCTCTAATTTGCCTAATGGCGAACATAGTGAACAAACAAATGATTTATTACAATTTGTTCAATACCTCTCATCAATTTTCTGAGAAATCTAGCATTAAGTCCTGGGGAGCACCCCCTGCGCCTCAATCATGAGGAGCACACGTTATGGACAAAAAAGGGTTAAGAAGGTGGCCATTCCGCTCATTTCCTAGGGTGATTTAGCCCATGTGGTAAATGAGAATTGGTTGATGGCCTACCCAATGAAGATGAATCCCCTATCATTCCTTCTCACCACCCAGGAGTTGGTGCAGAGAATTGGGGGTGGGTTTCTAGTGGTAGTAAGAAGCCATTGCCAGCAGAAAGTTTGTGGCCAATCCTCTCCCTCAGTAATCTCAGGCCCCAATGTGGGGTTTGTTAAGGTTGATGAATCACTGCATGGTATAGTTGAATTGACCACATTAAGCTCAGGCTTGAAACCTCATTAATTTGTTTCTTCTCCGTTTGAAAAAGTTGAGCCCATCCCCAACAGGTATGGGTGCAATAAACCCCTTCAATATGCAATGTGACCTCCCATGCCTACCCTGGCCATGGGCACAACCAGTCATCTGGTGGACAAATCATCATCAATGTGTTAAGCAAAATTACGCTAAATGGAACTTAGTGGGGTTCTCAAAGTCTAATTTAGCTGGCCAGGGTGATACTGATCCAGAATTGCGAATATTTTGGAATGTTGTATAGTGGTGAGTATCCCCGCCTGTCACGTGGGAGACCGGGGTTCAATTCCCCACTCGAGAGTTTAATTTTTGGGACCATCTAGTACTAAAAAATATTTTGGAATGTTGATCTGCAGAAATTAAAAGTTATTGTATTACCCTTGATCAATGCAAATTTTATTATCCCCAAGCTCTAGCAGTTTATTCTACAGTCCCCCATGTTGAATTTTAGGGTTGCTAGAGCTCGCTGGTGCTTGGTTATTCCTAAACTTCAACAATAAAAGGATGAACACCACTTACGTTAAATATATTAAAAATACTAATAATAAAAAACTGATTTTTAAGGAATTTTATTAGTATTGATAAGGGAATAGAAACGTACCCTCTTGATATTGGACCCTTTAGTATTTAGATTGGATTGAGGATCAAGGGAAATTCAATGAGACATTCAGAATACCTCAAAATAGTCCAAATTTGGTAATATGGAAAAGTAGCCTATTGAAGCTCAGAAATCTCGCTTCACTTTGCCTGCATGATGGATGGGGAGATATGGTTTGGCAAGATGTACCCATGAGGTAATGATTTGATGAATTTTAGCCAATCCCCGTTTGATAAAATTATTTTATCTTGGGGGACCTCAACCATGCCTATAAAAGGGGGTGGTCTCCGCTTAGGTGTTGGAAGGAAGTTGGATGGGGCAGAAGGGAGAAACTGCCGATGGACTCCCTGAGTTCCCTCACATGGTCAGAGTTATCCAACTGCTTGTTCATGTGTTTATTGCCCATGAATTATTAAAAATCATGTTGTCCTGATTTGTGGGGTTCCATCGAGAATTGGCCAGGGTCTTTTGGCCAATTAAATTGTTCTATTATCATTAAATTCGATTTCCTCATTTTCACAGACTCATAGATGTCTGACATTTCCTATGTTCAGCTGAGTTTTACCCACAACATTCTTATTTTTAGCCTGGGAGGAAAATGTCTAACATTACCCCCTCAGAATGTTGGGGGAGAATAGGGCTGAAGGAAGCGTCCATGAACTTGGTTGATAATGAGTACAGAAGCAAGAGATTTGATAGAATAATCATCCCCTCACTTGTATGTGATTAAAAAATGGCCCTTCCCAGATAGAGCTGAGCTTTTCATTTCTTGGAGTGATTTGGTTGTGGTATTATAATACCAAGTTGGATACTTGAAATGAAAGAAGAGGGTCCCTGAGCTCATTTGTAGCTTGGCCTTCTTTAGCAACAGTCTTTGCTAAATTAGTCATGGCCTCTGGTTGTAATTTGATGATGTGTTGGGCCAACCATTTCATGGCTTGTTCAGGAGACACCTGTCAGAGAAAATATCCTTGGCTAATAATGCTGGCACCCCAAGTTCTTGTCCATACAACATGCGGAAAGGGGACATCTTGAGGATGTGATGGTAGCTAATACAGTAGGTCATGAGGGCACTGGGCAAGTAGAGATCCCAATGGAGAGGGTCTTAAGTAGCCATTTTGCGTAAAATTGAGACCAAAGTCCCATTTTTTAGCACTAGGTGGTCCCAACCTAAAGAGACCAAAGTCCCATTAACCATTTCTACCGCACCATTTGTGGATGGGTTATAGGTGCTGAGAAGAGTTGTTGAGGTCCCATAAAAGTGGCGAGGAGCTTTACCACTTGAGAAGTAAAATTTTTACCGCTATCACATAGGAGGACCTGGGGGCTCCCATTTTGGGTGAAGATATACTGGTGTAAGGAGGTAGCCATGGCATTGGCAGTCTGAGCGGGAAGAGCAACAGCTTCAACTACTAGGTGAAATGATCAATACTGACTAAGATATAGAGATTTCCACTGGTAGATTTAAGAGAGGACCTACCACGCTCAAACTTATGATGTGAAAGGGTTTGTGGGGCATCGTAGGTTAATACTGATATCAGGTCTTGAAGCTGGTTTGTTTCTTACAGGTCAGGCATGCATCTAAGACTTCAGTTATGGTCTCCATGATGTTCTCTTAATAGTACCACCCTTTTATCCACTCATAGGTTTTGCGCACTCCGCCATGCCCCATGATTGTGAGAATCTAGAATGACAGGTTAAATGCTCGGATGGCTGGAGATAGGACAACCAATTTACTCTATTTTCTTATTTAATTTCCTGTTCTCTACCTTTGTGTTATGGGAGTGCCGAGTTAGCATCTTCTGTAATAGTTCATCTTCATCAGCCCATGCGTCAGGAGTCATTAGGAGGCCATGCAACCGCTCAGCTTCGCTATTGTCAAGGTGAAGGGCAGGTAGCCACGTCAGCCCATCAACGTTCATATGGCATGTCCCAGCTCAGTGCTCAATGGTCATATCGTAATACTGAAGCTTAAGAGCCCAGTGAGCCAACCGCACAGTGAGATCTTTTATATTCTGCAACCACTTCAATGAGGCGTGGTCAGTAATGAATTTGAATGATATCCCATAAAGAAAAGGGCGATAGTATTTGAACACAAGTAAAACAGCAAGGCACTCCTTTTCAGTGACGCTGTAGTTGCGCTCAGCTTTTGAGAGCAACTTGCTGAAGCAAGATACGGGATGATCAACTACATTATCATCCAGATGAGCCAAGATACTCCAACAGCGTAATCGGAGGCATCCATAAACAACATTGAGGGCTTACCATAGTCAGGGTGACGTAGTATTGGCCTTTTTTGCAATAAGGCCTTCAAGGTCTCAAACGAGGCCTTTTGTTCAGCACCCCAATAGAAGGGGGTGTTCTTGGCCAAGAGATTTACAAGGGGCTCACTAAACTGAGCGAACTTGGGAATGAACTGATGGTAATATCACATCATACCCAAGAATAACTGGATGTCACAAAGGGTTTTGGGAGCGGTTATCTTAGATATTGCTTCAGCTTTATCTTGCAGAGGTTGTATCCAACTTAGGAGTTGGCGTGCCCAAGAAAATCTAACTTCTTTTGGAAAAAAGTACATTTAGATGGCTTCAACTTTATGTTAGAGTCCCGCAAGCATTGAGACACCTCCTTTAGGTGCGTGAGATGCTCGTTGAATGTCTTGGAAAATACTGTGATGTCATCTAAGTAAACAATGACACAACTCAGCTTAAGGTCCTGGAGGATGTGATCCATGGCCCGCTGAAAAGTGGTGGGTGCGTTGCACAACCCCTGAAGTGACTGAGTGGGTTGGAACAAACCCTCGCTGCAGATAAGGGTGCACTTCTCCTGATCCTGTGAGGAAAGGTCCATCTGCCAGTACCCGCTAGCCAAATCCATGGATTGAGGTAATTAGACCCAGAGAGTTGGGCCAGAGCGTCATCAATGCAGGGGTAGGGTAGCTGTCCTTATTGGTAAGGTTATTCAGCTTACGGTAGTCCATCACTACCCAATGACTCCACTTTTCTTTTTTATCAATAGGAGCGGGGATGACCAAGGGCTTTGGGAAGGCACCAACAACCCAGCGTCCAGCAGCTTTTTGAGCTCCGTCCGAATCTGTAGATCCTTAACTTTGAATTTGTGATAGGGTTTGAAGCGGATAGGACAATAATACACAGCGTCAATGGTATGAGTTCAACCTTTCATGTGCCCATAGTCGGTGTCAGAGGTAGAGAAGATGTCAATATAGGACTCTATTAAGGTGTTGACCTTGTCAAGCTCAGCGGGGGTTAGTTCATCAGAGATATGAACAGTAGGAAGAGTGTAAAGTGATTGGTCTGCAGGTAAGCTCATATCAGCCATAGACCCAATACAGTGAACTTGTTTTATTTCTTTAAGGGGAATCAGCATACCTCTTCCGATCTCTTGATGCTTTTTTACAACCATATCCTTCTTAGTGAGATTTTCTAGCAGAAGGTTATTAGGTCTTTGAAAAGGCAGGTTCTAGCACGCCCGGAAAACTCTGTTCTCCAAAGGACTAACTCCATTAATGCTGGTTAGGTGCAATAAGAAGTTGTGGGGGACTTGTAGGGTAATCTTAGTGTCAACTACCCGTTGTTCACCCGCTTTAATTACTACCTCTTCGAAAAGCATAAAAAGGAATACACTCTAGAATGTCCACTTATGGAAGCAACATTTTTGTATGCCATCTGGCTGTGGTGTAGTGTAGGGATAGAGCGGAAAAGGGATACTCAACTGTGCAGACATAATATTTTTTATTCAGCTCTTCATTTGCCAAAATCAAAGAAACCTCAAAGTTGAGCAAAGAGAGATAACCCTGCTTCATGTTAATAATTCCTTCAAATTTGAGCAAGAACTGGGTATCAATAAGTGGATCATAGGTATTGTTGACCAAGGCCACCGCGGGGGATGAGAGGAGAAGTTTCCCAAATCAGATAGTAAAGATGGGTAGTCCACAATGGCGCAAGTGTTTTTTGGGCCAGCAGTTCCAAACTCTTGTGTAGTCAAGGTCAGGGGCCACCTTAATTTTTTCATAAGCTTTGATGACACAACATTCACAAGAGACCCAGTTTCGAGAATAGCCTTAAACTGCACTCCATTAACAAAAACCTCTACTCTAGTCTTAGGTCCACTCAAGTTGAGGGGAAGAGCGAGGACCTCCTTTAGCTGGAGAGTAGAAGCAAGGCGTTTGGCAGTTTCAGGGAATTTATCATGGATAGTCTGCAGTGTATACATACTCTGAGTGGGCCAGATCATTGTGACATTAAGCTGATCAGCGTCACTGGAAGTATCAATAACCTCCAGAACTCTCAACACCTGATAAAGATATGTTCAGCGGGGTACCATAGCCAAATACACTCTCCGGGTTTAATTGGTCAGGTACCTCCACTTCACTTGGGGCTCCTAGAACATAATGACCCACATCATCACCACCCCCTTCAGATTCATCATCAGAAGGGTTATCGATGCAAGTTAGGGAGCCCATAGGGGGTGAAGTAGGATAATGGCTTTCCTTTTGGTAGGATAATTCCTGGGGTTGTTCCTCCACTTTACTAACTTTTTAGAGGCGTTGAAATTATGACAGCTCGATTTTCAACCTTCAAAGTAGGAGGCTTATGCTGCCTCATAGCAATAAATTTCAGACTAGATTTAGCTGAATAAAAGTTGAGGGAGTTAACGCTGTGGAGGTGGATGCTTTAACTTTA